GCTGCGCTACGCAGAAACACGGAATCTGGGTCAGCGGAGCTTTGCGTCGCGATGCAACACAGATAAGCTTGCGGGAGGAGGATCGGTCTTCCGCGCTCACCTGGCGGACCGGGCCTCATGCCTACACGGGATATTAAAAAGCTTTGGTTAAACACAAGCCGCGGTTTAGGCGTGCGGCGATAGCCGGCTCCCTCACACTGCGACAGCAAATGAAACATGCACGGAGCTGTTTAGCGGAAGGGGCTTTATTGGCGGCGACGGCAAGCGCTCTCAACCCAAGCAAATAAAGAAGCAAATAACGATTTATATTCGTCACCGTGCGCGTAAAGGCAGCGCTCGGCGTGTACAAATATGTCTCAATCCGCAGACGGGCTGCGATGCGCTGCCTTTCTCTTCTACTTGACCTCGTCATTAGCGCTAGCAGTGATCTCATTCGGAAAGGCGGGCGCCGACTATCTCAAAGTGTCTGACACATTTTTGCCTGCAAATCCCGTTCAGTTCACAACTAATTGGGGAACAGAATGAAACAGAATTTTCATAAGGTATCTAAAAGCATCAAAACCAGAGTGCAGCGCTGAGGTTCTTTTCTTATCCTTTGGTACAATAAAGCAGACTCCTAGCCTGCTGAATAATCTATGGTAATTGTCCCATGGGGCAAAGGAAATCTATTCATGTTTATTGTAGCATGCTGTGCCCTACCAGGGCAAGAGACAATGGGAGTGAGCGGGTTCCAAGCCCACATGCTACAATTCCCAAGATGCAACATGGCACTTTTGATGAGAGACTGAGTACATGTTTGTCTATTAAGATATGTAAATTTTTAATCCCCCGTTCCCCTTTTACACCATCCATTTCTCGCAAAAAGGGATGTTAACAAAGCTATTATAGTTGTACTAAAATATTTCAGTGTTATATCTGCGTGCTATTCTTAATAATAATTAGTGTCAGAGGGGTGGAACAATCGTCGTTTCAGGATGAAGCGAGCCAACAGATTGCAGAGCTTTCATGAGTAAACAAAAACAAAACAAGAGCCCCATGATTCTGTGCTCCAAGTGTAAGTAATATTGAGATGACTAGGCTGCTTTCGAAAGCCCCTTGATCTCCCCTCTGTAGATATCTTACTTAATTCTGTGTCTCCATATTTCAGTGTTAAGTCAACATGAAACTGGGCAACATATTGTAAGAGAGCTGCTTGACTTGGCCCGCCACCAATAAGAAGCAAAGAAACGGCTCCATTTGCAGACACTGACCTTATCTCTTCATTCAAACCCCAGTCCTCAAACAAAGTAACATGTCTGTCCGCAGGTAAAGTGCCACCTTTTCTTGTGTAATTATATAGTGCTCTCTTTTAGATATAAATGTATTATGTTTACTTGCCTATTTTGTCATATATTTGTAAGCAAATGTATACATTTCTTGCCAGGACTGTACTACAGAAGTCAATCTAATGAGAGATAATGTAAGCATGACGTCTTGGTTTTTAAAGTGGACCTACCCTGCCCTCCATGGTCATCTGGGATGTGGAAAAGTGGACAGAGCGGTAGGTCATCAAGGATGTGGAAGAGTGGACAGAATGGTAGGTTGTCTGGGATGTGGAAGAGTGGACAGAATGGTAGGTTGTCTGGGATGTGGAAAAGTGGACAGAATGGTAGGTTCTTAGTCACATGATGATATGAGTGGAATCCTGTGGTAAAAATGTAACAAACTTTTCACTGTTGCTTTGGAATCAGAGTTGAAGAGATTTTATTTTCTTTTCAAAATGCAATTTTTAGTACAATTCAATCACTTTGGTTCATAAACGGTAGCATTACACTGGTGTCTAAGGAACTAATATCTAGTATCATCCCAGATCAGTGTTACTGTAGTAACGAGATACATTTGGTGATGTCCAAGAATATTCCCATTGGACCAAGATTCAGTGCAGAAGGACCTGATGTCATTTTAGTGTACACTATTGCAGTTCAGTGCGTTAGTCTAGTGTTGGAGTTGCTGTGCCTTCATATTTACGGGCGAGTAATCTACAAACATATTGCAGTGCAGTGGAAGTAACTTCTCAGCTTATCTGTGACATAATAGATCTTTTTTTTATTATTTCTGGAATAACTTTCTCAGAAGCTGTTTACAGAAGCTGAGTAAAATCTTTTGACATAACTTAAGTAAACATTCCCTGTGTTAGCATTCCCAAAGATTATTTGACTAAATTAAAGTACTTTATGAAAATTATTACCCTAGGATGACTCAAGTACAATCGGCATTTAGGGCATACTTTGTGCTGTATAAGGTTTTGTGTTTGTGTTGTCTGGGTTTAGTATCAATAAGGCATCTTTTTTCCTTTGCTGTTCAGTTATAGACTGAGGCATAAATGACCATATATGTACGTGTATAAATGCATCTTCTTGCAGCCTAATTGGGCTCTTTGTTAGGTTATTGGTTCTGAAACCCATCCGTCACTTTTCACTCCCTCCAGAAAGATGTCAGCTTTAATAGGAATGAATAAGAGTAACGAATGGGAGTTGTGTTTGCAGAGCTCGCTGGTGATTGGTCTCCCAACTTGGCACATGAGTCAATGGATTTTGCCAAAGTCGATGAGGCTCATTTCAAAAGCCAAATGACATGCCATCTATTTTCCCCTGGGGACGTCCAATCTGCAGACATGCTGCGAAAAGTGAATCTGCACGTCTCCGTAATATTATTATATACATGTCATTATCGGAAAATAATTCCCTTTTGCTGATTTATCACAAAAATACACCACAAGTCGGTTTTTAATTAAATATGACTGTGGCATGTAGGGGGCAGGCACGTAAATATACATTTGTTGATAAACACAGACTATTGGTAGGTATTCCAGTCTTTAGGTTCAGGAACGTTCGCTTATGTCTTTTTATGGATGATGCAGAATGAAAGAAGCATTATTAATTTACACTTATCTTCAATATCACAAACAAATTAAGGCATTGATGCTTGAAGACTTATTACACATCTAATCTCAAATTCCCACAAATGGACTCATAAAATCTTGCTATTGGACACATATTGGACTGTTTACTGTCTGCTTGCTTGTAATTGCTCCAGACTGTGAGCACACGCCCATAGTAGGCAGGCTGTGGGGGTACACTGGTGTTTTTCTCCTAAGTGGATGTGGTGCTCTTTTACCCCCCAAGCGGGCCAGCCAGCTGATCGCCTGGGAGGCCATATCTTTCCTCCATCTCCCCACAATCCAGCAGGCCTTCGCCACTTTCTTGAATCCTTTCCACCTCTTGTCATCTTCATTTTTGTCCCGGCTGATTTTTTTTTTCCTTCTCAGAGGGAAGGGAAAACGTGCGGCATAGAAAACACAAGCATTTCACACAAACTGTGTATTATGATTTTAAAATGCATTTCACACAAACTGTGTATTATGATTTTAAAATGCTTTTTATTCTGATTTATTGTTCATTAGTTTCAGTGTATTTTCTTACCCATTATCCAATACGAAACAGTACTTATTTATGGATATTTATGAATGTTTAAAATATTTAATCATAATATCCATGTTGATTGGTGTGTTTGTGTAACATGCTCCACTCGAGAATATTTCCCGTCCGCGTATCCTCGATGGAATTGAAGTCGTGCTCAAGAGAGTGAAGAGCTGATAAACATGTGAAGACGTGACGCCTTCAGCTACAGTTTTCGAAGAGCTGTTGTGGATATTGATGTCAGAAAAAGAAATCAGCAAAATAATATGATGTGGTGGCCACAAAGTAACGGCCAAATGCAGCATGATGAATTAAAACAAACTATAGCCACGTATTAAAGATCCAAGCTTATTTGTTGAATGAACTGCTTTCTTGTGGCAATTTTTTGTAACTGTATAAATGTACTATACATACACATATATATACATTTTCATCAAAATATAGGCATATAGGAATGTTTTATGGATGTTTAGGGAAATTGAATTAGCTACATGCTTCGTTGTGATGTGTAATTTGTTGTGCTGATGCATGTTCACAGCCAGCACATAAGGGCAGGACAAACCTCATGTAGGGCGAGTTTCCTATGAAAAATACCGCGTGAGCAGAGCAGGCAGCTGCTGCGAGACTCTTCATGCTTGAGAAGAACTCTTGGTTTTGTATGTCAGAATCAAATGAACAGTCGCGTCCTGCAGGCTGGGCTTCCGAAGCTGTTTCACAGCAGCATGTGTTTGAGTGTTGCACTGCATCAGTTTTTCTGTTCGAGTGTTTCCATTTTTAAATCTGTTGTGGGCCCCCTGATTTCGTAAAGGCGGGATTCTGCTTCCTGCCAACTACAGTGACACATATGGATGGATGCTCATAGCATTTTTACCGCATCAGTTTGCTTTGGAGTCGTGAAGCCTCTTTAAATACTCTGCAGTCAGCTGACAATCCTTCTCTGGACGGTTCTTTGCTATTACCTCACTAGCTGGAATGGGGTAACCCCAGATTATATTATTTCTCTGCAGGACGTCACCATGAACGTAAATAAACTGCTAGCATCTTAATGAATAGCTTGATATTTTCATTTCTCCCACAGTTTGCAGTTTTGTGTGGTTTTACTCCATTTCTAAGTACTTGCAGCAGTAAAGCATCTTTATGTTCTGGTTTTCTGTGGTTAAAAAACACAGAAATGTAACTTTTTTAAAAGAGATGTTTCTGTGCAATACTTTAACCTTAATGCGATCATCTCCTGATCATATTGTATTGCATGTTCATTTGCATCCTAGCATCCTGTTACTTCATCGTAGACTCCAGTGATTCACATACGTTCTGGTTTTTACATTATACACCCTCATGAGGTTTTCCAATAGAGGCTCAAATAACTTTGTTTCATGTGAACACCATGACTTCGTTACTGCGCCAAGAATTTCCTGTTTGGATATAAGTCACCATTATACATGTCTAGCTATATAAAGTTAAGCCACAGGAGAGAAAATGTTTGCATTAATGAAGATGTTAGTGTTTATGGTTTTCGCCTTGCTAGTCCGTGTTTTGCTTGTACTTGTGTGGTTTTTGAAAGTCCAGACTGGCTGAAGCCAGAAGCTAAAAATATCACCCAGTTTTGTCTAAATGAAACAATGGATTTTTGTGTCACCGCTTATGAGTTTGTCACCTCCTGTCAGCTCGACTACACTGTCACTGCTAATTGAGGGGTTGCCCGTAGATAATACTAACACATTCACCGGCGTACGCATCTCTCACACTGTGCCGTGGAATATTACTCATATAACAAATGCAGACACATTTTCTCATCACAGTCTGCACAGGTCATTTTTGCAAAAATGAATGCATGCATATTTTTTTCTCTTCACAGTGCTCCTATTAGACTAAAGATGCAGATTTAAGATGAATAAATGTAATGTTTATCCGTTAATATGACATTTTATAGTGAAAATCTTGATTTTGGACACAGGCACAACAGTTCGATATTGTTGACAGGAGTTAACAGTTAAAAATCCTGGCAACAGTAGAGAAATTACATTAAGTCTATTCTTTTCTGCTCCAGTATCCACAGCAGTGTGAATTGCCCTATTGATCTAGGATAGTATTTTCTACAATAAAACCTTACCACAAAATATATTTCCCTTTCCCTGCATGATGGTTGCAGTTCAACAAAGAACTAAAATCCACTTCAGTTTTGTCATTCTCGTTGAGGAAAGCATTTTAAAAACAATGTCAACTATTCCAGCATTTCTCCCAACATCCATCCATCCATCCATCTCCCAGGAAACACAGGGCTCAAGGCTGGTGTACACCCTGCACCAGATACCAGTCCATCACAGACCAGTAAGTTAATATTCTAATCCAAATAATTTAAGTAATTCTCCTAAGAGATTTAATAATATTAGCTGATCTTGTGCTGTTGGGGTGGATGTTTATGAAATGTGTAATATGAGGCAGATTTGCCTGATGTAGATCACAGGATTACAGCTTAAATTTGAATATTTAATGCGTCCTCTTCGTATCTGTTTTTAATGCGCTTCATCAATTTATTTTAACACACTGTGCATTTGAGCAGCATTCTGACTGTTTATGACATCAAATAGTTGACTTATACGACACATCAGAGTTCACACTTTAAAGTTCAAACAGGCAATACTGAAAGCTTTAAAGATAGCTCATTACAAGGGGAATTAAAGGGTGGCGGCTGGAATAAAGGACATTTTCGTTTAAAATCTAATTTAAAATGATAAGCAAGCTGCGGAATATGAATGTGGACAAGTGGACTCTGGTTAATGGTGTTTCTTCGCCTTTGTGTGTCTTTGAACGCTGATGAAACAGCAGCCACTTATGAAATATAATAATGTGAATTTTTTGAGATGGAAAGATGGAAATACTGAAACACTCAGGTTGGTTCAAAATAAGAACTTATGTAGTTTTTCAAAATTCCACATACAACAGACAGAAATAGGTAATGAACAGCAACATATATTTTAATATGTTATAATTATAAACAAATCATACACAATTATTTAGAGGCTGTCATGTGTTTTGTTGTTAAATACTTTATATATGTCATATTGCTCTCCATATATAAATC